TTCCTGAGTATATTTTTTTGGTAGTCCCGAAATCTATCTGTTACGTTAATATTGTCGACTTCCCACTAAAAAAAAGATCTCAAAAAGGTAAAAGAAGTGAACTCTGAATTCGACGCGACGCGTAAGAGAAAGGCTCAAAGAATCGTTGACAACTGGAAAGTATGATTCCTTCTTAATTAGATAGAGATTTACAAGTTAGGGAAAAGCTGTGACTCCTGGTCTACAGTTATGAACTCTTTGTTCTTCCCGGGTACAAGCTGTGACTCCTGGTCTACAGTTATGAACTCTTCGTTCGATACTTAAGCAAGCGCAAGCTGTGACTCTTGGTCTACAGTCATGAACTCTTCGTTCGACGCTTTCTTTGCTTGTGTTATTTATGCTTATTGTATAATGTTTCTTGCAAGCACTGCTGATTCTGCATTCTTTTATTAAGAGTTGGACCACGATGAGCAATGATACAAGTATCAAGTTCGAGTTTAATCAGGTGAGATCCTAGCCCGAAAATTTCTTAGACAAAAAAACTTGAGTAACATTATTCTTCGATTAGGTACAACAACAGGTACTCGCGACTGGTAATGTGTCTATCGATAATATCGACAATCGTCGTTCAACTGGAAAACATTTCCGAAATGATGAAGAGGAAACAACGGGTGATGTAATCCCACTGGAGCAGACGAAAAAGGTAAGGTCACTGTCCCAATATTTTTGTGAATAAAAACAACCTATTTATATGCTCTGTGGATTAGCTTCCTTGTGAGTTTAAAACTCCCCAAATAAAGAGACCGAGAAATGTTCCCTCTATGAATAATCTGCAACAAGAATCAATTGTTGACACTGGGCTGACAACTAGCGATGAACTTAATACCGAAAAATCAGGAGAGGTAAATGGGCTGACAACTAGCGACGAACTTAATACCAAAAAATCAGGAGAGGTAAATGGGCTGACAACTAGCGACGAACTTAATACCGAAAAATCAGGAGAGGTAAATAGTTTTAATTATTCTGATACAATTTCTATATCAGATCACAAGAAGGTAAATACTAATTGTTCTTTATCGTCTCATTTTTTGTAATATGGTCAGGCAAAAACGTTTGGTGTTTCATTTGACGAGTTTATTGACTCAGACAAAAGTGAGGTAACTGAGCCAAGTGAAGTTCTTGAGGATGAGAACGATGAGGAAGTAAAGTTTGATCTTAATGATATATCAAGAGAATTACAGCGCGAGCCAGCAGTTAAAGTATGTCATATGTTGGATTTTTGTTTTTATATTTCGCAAATCTCAGTTTCTTTTTTTTAGTGGGAAGTCGACAATATTAACGTAACAGATAGATTTCGGGACTACCAAAAAAATATACTCAGGAA